TTTCTATTTACCTCACTGGGATTTGACTTCCACGTTTTAAAAGATGCCTTTTTATCTCTCACTGCTTCTTTTACATGGTTGTTAAGCCCCAGTGGCTCTTTTTTAGTTCTTTTACTATGTTTTTTAATTTGGGGTATACATTTAAGTTGGGCCTCTATTATGGTGTCTTTGAAAAGTGTCCATGCAGCTTGCAGGGATTTCACTCTAGTCACTGTACCTTTTAATTTCTGTTTAACTAACCTCCTCATTTTTGCATAGTTCCCCTTTCTGAAATTAAATGCCACAGTGTTGGGCTGTTGAGATGTTCTTCCCACCACAGGAATGTTAAATGTTATTATATTATGGTCACTATTTCCAAGCGGTCCTGTTATAGTTAGCTCTATGATTTTAAAATAAAATAATGAAATGTGATGATAGAAACTCAAACCTAAGAGCATTGTAGCAGTACACACATGCATTAGAACCAAAGAGCAGAGATGACTATAAATGACAAGGGAAACTGATCAGCTTAGTTTCATTGTCCAAGGTGAGTGAAATGCAAAAAGCAAGCAAACAGCAATAATGGTGGAAAGTAAATTAAATGTTAAAATTCTTTGTTTTAACGCGCAAAGGTTTTACCATATTAGTAATACAATTAAGGATTTTTAAATGTGAATTTTATGTGAACACTAAAGTCTGACCTTTTAATAAAAGAGAACACTCACCTAATCGAGTGCATTCAGTAGAGGTTTCAGCCCAGCTGGTACTATGGGCATTAAAGAAGTAGCAATGGCCACGAAAAGGAATCCAAGATAAGGGGTTTCTTGATTTAGGACATTTTCCAGGGAGTTGTGGAGGATCAGTAGGAGCTATAACTGTTAAGAAACAGTTAAGAAACTAAAGTCAGTGGGAATTTTGCTATTGACTTCAATGACTTCAAAAAATAGGGTTCTTAAAAGTTAATTAAAAAGCTGCTAAGCACGTTTTAGTAAGTAGATACTACAAGCTCAAAAAAGATACCAAGTAGCAGAAGCTCCCAATCACAGCTCATCAGCACAATCTAATCTATATAAATCAGAATCTTCATTATCACTAGAGCTGAGCAAAACTCAGAATTTCAATCCCATGGGAAATTTAGAGTTTTTGATATTTTGTTTTCTTCTGTTTTTTTTAAATAAATAATAATATAATATAAACAAATTCATAAGAAAAAAGCCCAAACACAAAACTTTGATAAGGTTGAAATAAAACAGTTAATCTTATTGAAACAAATATTTTTTGCTTTTTTTTAAAAACAAAATTTCGGCAAAATTGACACATTTCTCTTGGAGCTCTAGATTTCGTTGAATCAGCTTTCCTAACAGGAAAACTGCCAGCAGAAAATTTTCAACCAGTTCCAATCATTACATTGTATGGAACAACCTTAAACTTGTGAAATATTAGTGTTGCAGCCTCTTGTTACACAGAATACTCTGCAATTAATCATGTCAGGCCAGAAATCAGTAATCCTGTCAGTCTGTACATGCATCTCCCATTGACATCAGTGAGAGTTGCATATGCAGATCAAGCTCAGTGCATGACCTGGAAAAAGAAAAGAACCCTACACTTAAGAAATTTAGGCTATTAAAGATCCCACATAAGTAACAGAGCATATTGTGCAGTGTACAAAAAGACATATCAGTCTAAAACCCTTGTATGTGTAGCCCATTCTTAAGATACCCCTAATCCCTTATTCCTCTCTCTTCAGGGGCATAGTGATCCATCTTAGGACCAATGGGCTCTGTGTTCTTGTGCTCGGGGCCTCCATCTAATGGTCAGGTATATAAACAAATAAACTACTCCTATGACCTCTAGGACGCCCTTCCCACATCCCCTACTGCAGACAGGCATGGGGAGCAGGACTGGCTGGAGTACAGCATACTCTGGCTATGCTCACACAATTAGCTGTGAGCAAAGGTTAGAGCAGCCTGGAGGATGTAATTTCAGAACTGCTAAAATCTATGTGATTGGTATTTGTGATTCTATCATTTGGCTCACAAAGGGATGATAAGTACAGCTTTGCAAACCTTGCAAAAATGAAAACATAAATCATATTTTCAGGTAAATCTAAAATTCCAATGAAACTTTGGGGATGCAAACTCATATGAGCTGAAACACACACCAAAAAGCTTGGTCTGACCCTTTAAAGCCAAAAATGTGGAGTTCTCCACACTTTTAAACCTCCTGCTGCTATAGCTAATGGTGATTCTCCTGTACCTCAAGTGATCTGATTTTCTGAAGCAGAAGAGGTTGGGTTCTATCATAGATGATGCCTATATATGCAGTCTATAGAGTCACTGCACATGTAATATTTCTGCTTGTCCCACCAGTGATTTTTTTGCATCCTATAGCACATTAGCCATCTAGAAGTCATTATTTCCATAGCTAATAGAAGTCACCAGATGTAATTATCCAGGCTACCCTCCAACTGTTGCAATGCAGTGGCATTATCGTGCAGAACATAGAAGTTTCTGCTACTGTATACACGTTGCTTATTTTGAAGGAACAGAGTGTTTCCTCCAACAATTAGACTTCATAGATCAGAGCTACTCCCATAAACTCCTATTTATTCCTTCAACTGGATAGAGACTCCATTTTACAGACTTTAAAAGTACTGACACTTATCCCAAAAATACACATGTTCTGTTTGGCTTTAAGGAATGACTTTGAAATTTTATAGAACTCATTAGCTATCTCCTGAGTTCCAAAAAGCAGCAGCAATCTGTGTCATTGAGTACGTGTTTGAAAAAATGCAATATTAATGTAAAATAGGGTTATGTACTTGACAGACACAGGTTCTCTCTCCGTTAATATATGTTAAATATTATACATTATTGTAAATCCAAATCCAACCTCTAGTGCAGGCTCTCAAATTCCAGGGCACCAAACTAAAACTGTTACATTCAATTGCTTACCATCAGACTGTTTACAGACAGAGAAGTAATTTTCATCACAGGATGCTGTCTTCCAGGTTCCATCAAGGTCTAAATAGACACAGGCTATTTTCTGTTTTGGTTCCCCTCTCGCCCAATTAGAATATTTGATTCTCCTGTTATCAGTCCATTTGTAATAGCCATCAGTCTAAAAGCAAAACAAATGGAATTAACAAATGGCAGCTCATAGGCATAAACATGATTCTCTCTGTTTACACTCTAGCCTCCTGTTTCAGATCAGAGGATTCATACACATCCCCTGATGATATATGCACCCCTATTTTTGCAGGAAACACCCATATGCCATTGTTATTATGACACCATTCAAATGAGTACTGAGCAGGTCTGAGGGTGATGTAGAACAGTGTGCCTTATGCATTTGTAACCCTTCTGCCAGGTGGAGTTGGCATTAACAAGGGCCGGGTTCAATATCCATGGATTCCTCTTAACAACACAAAATAGAACCGGATTGAGCCCCACCAAGCTGGGAAAACTAAAAACCACCCTGGGGCTCCTCTCAGAGGCAATACTTCTCCACTCGCAAGCACTGAGTCCATGTACAACAAAATAAAACTTTTATTAAAAAGGAAAAGGGATCCAGCATTAATTTGGGAAAACACCACAATCACTATTTAAAAGCACGAGATCATAAGCTTCTACCCGTAATACTCCCAACTGTGTTACTGAAAAAACTGCAGCAGATAGAAACTCAAATAGAAGAAAAAAGTTCCACCACATACCCCTCTGCCGATCCACACTAAATGTGTTGGTCTTTGCTAGCAGAATTTGCACCCACCACAGCCACAACCGCTGGGATAAACAACCATCAAGCAAAGAGCGAGGCTTTTGCAATACAGTAACTCCTCACTTAACGTCGTAGTTATGTTCCTGAAAAATGCGACTTTAAGCGAAATGATGTTAAGTGAATCCAATTTCCCCATAAGAATTAATGTAAATGAGGGGGTTAGGTTCCAGGGAAATTTTTTTCACCAGACAAAAGACTATATTATATATACACACACACAGAGTATAAGTTTTAAACAAACAATTTAATACTGGTACACAGTGATGATGATTGTGAAGCTTGGTTGAGGTGGAGGAGTTAGAGGGTGGGATATTTCCCTTACTGCTAAATGATGAACTAGCAATTGGCTGAGCCCTCAAGGGTTAACTCTCTCACTCTACAAGGCAGCAGGAATGGAGGGAGATATGTGCATTTCCCCTTTAAGTACACTGCCTTGTTAATTACATCAGCTTGCTGAGACCGCAGCTGCTGCAAGCTCCCTCCATCCTGAGCCCTGGTGTGTCCCCGCTGCTATATGGAAGATGGGGTAAGCGGGGTGCAGGAGCAGAGGGGAGGGGGACACCCTGACATTAGCCTCCCTCCTTCCTCCTTCCCTCCCCCCCCCAGCAAGCAGGAGTCTCGGGGAGCAGCTCCAAGGCAGAGGGCAGGAGCAGCACATGGCAGTGGTGGGAGGGACAGCTGCAATTGCTAGCCTGCTGGGCAGCTGCTGCACAGGAAACTTAGGGGAGCGGGGAGCTGATAGGGGGACTGCCAGTCCACCCTGGTTCCAAGCCCCCACCATCTAGCTGCAACAGGATGCTCTTCCTGCAAGCAGTAGGCTAGGTCTACACTGGGGGTGGGGATCGATTTAAGATACGCAAATTCAGCTACGCGAATAGCGTAGCTGAATTCGACGTATCCGAGCCAACTTACCCCGCTGTGAGGATGGCAGCAAATCGACCGCCGCGGCTCCCCCGTCGACGGCGCTTACTCCTACCTGGGCTGGTGGAGTATGCGCGTCGATTCGGGGATCGAATGTCGCGTCCCGACGAGACGCGATAATTTGATCCCCAAGAGATCGATTTCTACCCGCCGATCCAGGCGGGTAGTGAAGACAAGCCCATAGACAAAGCAGGTGGCTGCCAAATGACGTTAGAAGGGAGCATTACACAACTTTAAACAAGCATATTCCCTAATTGATCAGCAAGGTAACCATGAAACAACGTTAACCGGGACTACTTTAAGTGAGGAGTTACTGTATCTATTAAATAGCAGCTTCCTCAGAAACAGAAAATAACTTTCTACAGTCTTTACCATCCGAACCACATTTCCTAGACTTCCCCTCCAACTGCTGATCAGCTTTCCTCACCACATTTCTATTGCTCCCCTTTTCCACTCACTACTTGTTTCTCCTAGTATGGCTTCCTTGCTACTCTAGCTGCATCTCAGGATATCTTTGAGGACCGTGACATAGAAGTGTTAGGGATTCCTAGATAACTTGATACTCAGCTTGAGACCATCAAGAGTCTACCTATTAAAGCCCTATAAAATAGATAAGGTCAAAATTTAAAGGAAAATTCAAGCTCTATTTGGAGTAGTAGCGTACCATTCAAACCTCACCCGTTTCGTGTTCTTACCACATTGCTGTTGAGACCAATCCATGCAGGCTCTCCAAACTGCAACATGTATAACCACAGGAATAAAGCACTATAGTAATCCAAAATGCTGGCAAGTTCTAAAGATTTTTCCTTGCAGTTGTTTCGTGCCTCTTCCCAATTCATTTTGGAGCGGATAATTGAATAGCTACTATTACCATAATGAATAATGTCTGAGGCTGGAATTGCTGGGGAATGAAATAAATCAGGGTCTGTTGTTTTGGGGAAGAAAAAAAAAACAATGAAAATGTTTGCATGCCTGGTTAGTCGTACCATTGCACCACAAATAAATGCAGTATTACAAAAATTGAGTGGGACAGCACAAGCAATAAGTGAAAATCATTCCTCATTTACAACCCAAAGAAATATAAACAATATATTTTGATGAATCGTGTTTGCTGTTCAAATCTAGAACTATGAATCCACACCTACTCTAGGTCACAAGTGAAAATCAGCTGGGTGCTTGTCACAGGATGGATTTCCCTCTAGCCAACTGTGAAATTCACCCAACACAGACACCGCTTAAATCCTCAAAATATGAGTACACAGGGGTGGGGCAAATTGCTTCCTAAATGGACAAGCAAAACAAACAAATATTCATTCTTCCCTTTCCAGAGTTTAATCAAAAGCGTTTGGGGTACAAACGGAAAACCAAACCAGCATTCTCCCTCTGATGGTATGGTATACAGAAATAAGACACAAATACTTTGGCTGAGTTGTTCTCAGTGCAGGGCCTGAAAAAGTAGGGCAAAAATGGCTTAAAGCTGCTGCCTTTGTGCTTACCCAGTTTTAGTAGCAACTGGGGAATACTTTATGCCAGCCAGAGATTCCTTTATGTAAAGGGAATCCTCAGCTGCCATCCTTTGACCCAAATTTCTGTTCTTCTGGTAGTGCCAGCTGTGGCACCCAGTCTGCTATCAAGCTGAGACCAGCATTTCCCCATAACTAGCCACATCTTTCCTCTTCCTCTGGACTCTATGAGTGCGAATGAGCTTTGGATGAATCTGTTCTCTAGCCACTTCCCACTCTGCAGATCTAGAGGAAAATTGGGTTGCGTAGCTTTGACCCTACCTGGGTAATGCCAGTCAAATTACATGAAGTCCTCGCAGACCCAGATGAGTAGTATAACCTGTTATTGTGTCCTTAACTTAATCCCCAAGAGACATTTTTTCTCTGTTAATGATTTTTAAGGGTACAATTTTGTTAGTTATACCCTATATTGTGGAGGTTACTGTTGGACTCATGCTTTTTAAATATTAGCCAGGGCACGTAGAGGCTGGGATAGGCACTTTTTGTGGTTGTTCTTATAAATTAAATAAGCACATAGAAAACTACAACAAAATAATGTACAGAGGGACATCTCTGGTCATGAAAGGCTCAAAACTAGAAAAAAACCAGCTGCAGGCATGAGGTACAGAAGTAGAGTTTTGCAGAGAAGTTTACAGAGGCCTTGTCTACACTACCGGGATAAGTCGACCTAAGTTATGCTACTCCAGCTACGTGAATAACGTAACTGGAGTCGACGTAGCTTAGGTCAACTTATCCCGGTGTCTTCACTGTGCTACATCAATGGAAGACGCTCTCCCGTCAACTTACCTTACTCTTCTCGGGGAGCTGAAGTACTGGAGTTGACCAGGGAGCACTCTGCCATCGATTTAGCAGGTCTTCATTAGACCCCCTAATTTGACACCCACTGCATCGATTTCAGCAAAGTTGATCTCCCCAGTAGTGACGACAAGCCTATTGACTCATAGACTTTAAGGCCAGACATTATACCTTCCCATGCAGTGCCAGTTAAATTGCAGCAATTTATTTTTGTAATTGCAGCAAAGAAACCCAACAATGCCATGACCAAAGGAATGGCATTTCAATATTATGAAAACAGTAATTACTTATTAGCTTTTATTATAGTTCAGCACTTTGACATAAACCCTACCTATTTTTCCAGGACAAGATTTTCAAAGGTGATTTTAAGTTCTTCAGTTTCAGGGTGTTCAACTTGAGACCTCTTCAATGGTTCTGATTTTCAGAAAGTGCTGACCACCAGCCCTCTGAAAATCACATCCTTTTGAGGGGTCTCAAGATGGGCACCGAAAAATTCAGGCACCCAAAATTATTAGTCACTTCTGAAAATCTTGGTCACAACATACAAATGGGAAAATTGAAATAATAAACGTTTCCCTTTTCACTCAAATCCTGAGTATTCGGACCCTGTGGGTGAAGTGCAAATAAATTGGAGGTGAAATCTAACCCCAACTCAGAGCCATAACATAGGGTACCCGTGATAGCTATTCCATCTAGAATTCCTGGGCTGTGACAGAAGATGCACCTTCTTGGCACCAGATGCTTGAGATATTGGCAGCCACAGTATCTGTGTAAACAAGGAACTCTAGAACTCAGAGGGGTTATTAAATGTGCTTTAAATTAGAAGGCTGATCAAATGAAACTCACTGCTGTCCATCTGGCATATATAGCTTTTGTTCTGGTGACAATCATTGTTTCCCCATTTCCCTTCCTCTCCTACCGATCTCTTCATCATTGCAATACAGTCAGTCTAGGGACAAAGGATACATGAATTAATAAAAGTGAAAAAAATGCTGGCAAAATAATAGAGGTTACTTATTAATAATCAGACCCAATAAATCTTTTTCTGCTCTAATTTTGATTCTGTGGCATAGTGTACATAAAATGACTTTTTTAAGAAAAGGAAACAAGTATTTAAAATTCTGGGAGGAGGCGGGTTAAATATAAGTATTTTCTTAAAAAGCAAAAATGAACTTCAGGGCTTGCATTTGATTGGTACAAGAGCATTCGTCAAGTGCTGGCAATCCCTTATAGTGCACCCAGACTATTACACTATTATCATACAACCTATAGTGTAAAAGACAATAATGCAAAGTTAAAAAAAAACATACTGGGCAACACTGAGTATCTGCAATGAATATAACTCTGTTAAAGCACCATGCTACTATAGTTCTGGATTTCTGCAAAAAAAGATTTGCAATCAGAACTGCTAGTACATGGAGACAATGTAAAAAACCTAAACCCTCCGTTTGCAGTACCGCCTTCCGTGGCAGTCAATGTTTTCATTGAATGAAAGGATGCTCAATAAGAGACAAGTTGAACTGGTTGCATAAAGCTTGACTCTGCCCCAGGTTACGGTGGTTTAGTCATATTTGTTCTGTTTACCTCCTGTGTAATAAATTTCCAGTCAACTCGTATGTAACTATCTCTAAATGGGAAATTCCTGGCCCACTTTGCATAGTCAAATAAACTCCCATCTGTCCAAAGATAACGGCCCTCCTCGTTAATATCGTTCAGTCCAATCCAGGTTTCAGCCATGACATCCTTTAAATGGAAGGTGAGGAAAGCTGCAAAAAACCCAGAGGTATATGTTTTACAAAAATGGATTCCCTTTCTCCAATCTCTGAAGACACCAGCATACCCAAAACTTGAACAATGGTAAAAAATAATAAAAATAAAATTACTGCTCAAGTATTGAATTAAAAAAACTTGCAAATGCTACATTTTATTACTCTAGATTATTGCCTGATGGTGAGATTGAAAGGAATGTCTGTTACAAAAATAGTAACTTAAAAGAGATAGGAGAATTCAATTAAGAAAAGTACAAATAAAGGTTTTCAGTTTAAAAACTCTAACCACAGCCCCTTGGGAGAGGACACAGAAATAGTACAGCCACAACACAGGTAATTTGTACCCCCCACCTAGGAACTGCTGTTCAGTACCCTATGCATAGTGTGTTACAGAAGGCACTCAGGTACTATGGTGATGCATGCTAGCATCGAACTTTGGAAGTTAGGCAGGTATGATACATTTTTCTCAAAGTAGTTTTCATTAATTCTTATATTAACTATTAGTGACAAAGGCAGCATAGTTTACTGGAACAGCCTCAAAATTACAGCTACATAAACTACGCTTATGATTGTTAGAAATGGGTAGATGTCTCATCTAGTACCAAAGGGACCAGATATTATACCTTGCACTTGTTCGTTATGTATAGAAGCCAGGATTCCTCCTAACTTTATGCAAGTGTTTCGTGCAGCATGCCAAGTCAGTCTCTCTGCTTCACTGGAGCCGAATATTTTATAACACTGTGGGGGGAAATGGGACATTTTACTGTAAAGTGCCCAAGAAAGAATAAACCATGAGATTTGACCCAGTCCTAGTGCACACGCATACTGAGCTCAAAGAGTGGGGGAATGTTTGTAATGCCAGATAAAAAGGGGTGGAGCTGGCAGGGTGTGCAGTACTTCCACCCCAACAGGCCATCCAAGATGAGTGTTGGAGAAGAACTTATGATTTAGATAGAAGGTCTATTGATAAAGGACATTGATTTCAGGGGTGAGCTAGGAGGAGTGAATTCTCTAAGAGCGTCCAAGCAGGAACTATGTCTGGTCCAAGTTCATCAGTGAGGTTAGGCAATAATTGTAGGATAAGGTGAAATGTAACGATCAATGTCCAAAGGGGAGAAGGAACTGAACAATACGATGCAGACTGGGTTAAATCCAGGCCTGTTTTGGCAGCACCCTGGTGGTTGCTGTTTGTCAATCGGGAGAGAGTTGTGATCTAATGGACAGAGCACTGGACTGCGATTTAGGAAACCTATTCCTGGCTCTGCTGCTAGCCTGCTAGATGACCTTAGGCAAATCATGTCACCTCTCTGGGCCTTAGTTTCCCGACCTGTAAGAATGGGATAATGATATTAACTTCCCATGCAAAGCGCTTTGAGAGCTGTAGAAAGCAGACTCTGCATGCCCCCTGGCATGGGTATAACAAGCAGTGGTGGGGCACTGCTTAGGTGAGTAAAGACGCATCAGAACCTTATGGTATAGCCCCTACACACCTCTCTACTCGCCCAAGCAGCGCCTCCCCATGCCTACCCTGCTTTTTTTTAAGCAGCGTAGTGTCCCTCTGCCTTCCTGTTCACAGAGCTTTTCCCAGCCACAGAGAAAGACTCCAACAGCAGGGAAAGGCTCCACCAGGAGTGAAGCAGTGGGGAAAGACTCCAGCAGCTTCCTGCTGCCAGAGCCTTTCCCCGCAACTTCCCCTTGCCAGAACCTTTCCCAGCTGCCTCCCCACTGCCAGAGCCTTTCCCCCCAACTTCCCCTTGCCAGAACCTTTCCCAGCTGCCTCCCCACTGCCAGAGCCTTTCGCTGCCACATGGAGCTACACACCACCGTGTAGACATAGCCTGCTTTTCACTGTGGTATACAGCTACATGTACCCTTTGTGCCACCGCCGCAAGTGTAGACAAAGTCTTTGCGTTCAGTTCAAATGGAGCCTGTAACAGAGGAGACACATACTGTGCTTTCTTATGGAACACATTCTCGTCTTCATGAATGTGGCTAAAATTCAGAAAAAGAAAGTCACTTAGACTGAAAAATTATGAATGCCATTTATCTCTTGAAAATATTATTGTCTAAGGACTGTTTGGAGTGGCAAAAGAATAGAAGAATGGTCTAAGAGAAATAAGCAGAGGATTTTACATTTGAGTATTTCTAGGAGGTTTGCTTTAGGGATAAGAAAGGGGTCTGCTCTGGAGCAAACTTTGTGTACAGTACCTTTGGCATTTCTGCTTTCCCAGATCTCTCTCAAGTCTGGGTCTCTCATTAGCATATTAGAGTCTTTAGGCCAAAAATTTCAGCTAGAGTAAACTAGCTTTGAAGTGAAAGGAGCAGTATCAATTTACACCTGCTGAGGCTTTGACCCATTGGGGAATCAATCTTTTGTAAAGTTTAATGAACAACTAAATCTCCCCATTCAGTTGGTTTCAGGGATAGTTTGGGCAGTGACCCAGTTAGACATAAAATGAGAAGAAGGTTTTTCATTCAGTGTGTATATATTTAGCAGGAAGATCTGACTCTCTTTCTGTAATGCTGATACAAAAGTGATCTCCCTGATTTGTCTGAGTGCTCATTGACTGAAGAGGTATATTTTTCTTAATGAAATTTGCTACTTCCCTCTTTTTCTGCCCTTATAGATTCATAGATTCTAGGACTGGAAGGGACCTCGAGAGGTCAT